TCAATTTAAAACTAGGCACGTCATTGAGGTAGATTCATGTATGTTAACCCAAAAAAAAAAAAGTTGCTTCTTCACCTATCTGAAAAACATTTTTAACATGTTTCACACGAATTACAAATTAAAAAAAAACTTAAATGGCATTAATTTTATTTTAAAATATAATAAATTTTTAACTTTATTTCTATTTAGTATAGACGTACACTTTTTAAGAAAATAATAATGTAATAAAAGATAAACTAGAATATCCATGTTAAAAATTTAATGATGTGATTTATAACAGGACTTAAAAAACCTCGTCTCTTTGCCTGATTATAAATACGCTTGAATTTCGGTTTTTGGAAAAATGCAGTCGACATGTAGCTGTGTTTCATTCAAGGAAATAAATAAGTTTGAACATGTGCCTTGAATTTTGCAAATAAGATGATCGTCCCAACTGGCGTACGTTGTAATGAAGGTATATACATAGAAATGGAGTATCCATATGAACACAATTTAATTGTAAACTTTGTGATCCACAAATTGAGGCCACGAAATAGAGACATTACATATATGGCCCTTGACTAAATATCTGCTTTGTCTACCACCCTCAAATGCCATCACTTTCTTTTAGGGCATGTGGATCGATATTGAGTTAGAATACGGAAGAAGAAGTTAACAAAACAGAAAATTTTCCTTTCAAAATTTTTTTAATTTATACTTAATGATTTTCCTTTTGCAACAGGTCGGTTTGATTGAGAAGGAGGACTGGATATCAGATAGGGCTTCTTGAGCGTTTCTTGTCAAGTTTGATCTCTTTATTCAAATATGGCTCATGACAATAATGTGATATGTATTGAGTTTCTTCCTTTTGTCCTAAATATAGGAATTGTATGACTAATTTATTAAAATTAATAAAATTAGTTAAGTTACTTATTTGTAAAAATATGTATTGGTTAATCATTTGTATTAAAAACAATCCAATTGATGGAAATCTCCTTTTAAAGCGCAATAACAGTGATAGTTTCAGAATAAAATCGTAAATTTAAAAGGTAAAATAAATTGAGTTTCATGTTTAGGATCAAAAGAATACAGTTTTTAAGTACATGAACATAACACGTAAATTTTTATCACTAAAAGTCACTTTGATTCACACCTAAATTCTCAATTGCTAGTGGTGCAGTGGGGTTGATGATATTACTTGTTAGTATAAAGTTAGTGCGTGTCTGTGTGTGCGTGCCCGCATTTTTAAATTTTGAAATATTTTTCCTCAAGACCATATTAAAATGAAAAGAAAAATACCAATGACACTGATAATAAATACGAGATATGTGTGTTTCTGATAATTTGTAGGAGTTTCAAAATTTGATGCTTCCTTGTGTTCAATTATTCATCTTCGTGAACATAATGAGATCCTTCCTCATCTCAATGTGATGGATGAACCAGAAACATCTTATCTTCTTCATCCTCTGCCTAACTCTCTTCTCTCCACGTTCTTCAATTATTCAAAATCTTTTGTTTTGTTTTGATCCATGGAAACTGCGACTTGACAACAGAAATCTCAGTGCGATGCAATTTTTTTATTTATTAATTCTGTTTCATGATGAAACTTTGTAGTGTTTAATTCGGTGACAATAAAAATCGTCACTGACAAATTAAGCAAATATACTTCTTCGTTAACAAATTTCACTTGTGTAAAAGCAGTGTGAACCCCAAAAAAAAAAAAAATTTCTCGGGCATCTTGGTATTTTTTTAATTTCATTTTGAAATTTAATTTCATGCTATGTATATTCAAACAGATATGTGATCTGGTTTTCATTTGTTTCTGATAATACAGGATATTATAATTAATGATAAAAACAGTGTCACATCTTGCATTTCAAAATTTCTATATATAAACGGACATAAATATATAAACGGACATAAATAATAATTCGTAGGGTAGGGTAATGAAAACGCCGTTCACAAAAACAGATTTAAAATATATATTATACATCCAAACAAACTGTTGGTAATTGTCTAATAACTAATAATGTATATTGCTACTTTTTCCAAATTAAATTAACATTTCGCTATTTTAATTGAACATTTGGTTCAGAGGCAAAGAACATATTCTCTAAATCACATGAATAAGAATCATTAAGCTGACATATCAATAATCCACTTTGGAATATGTATACCTCAAAATCTATAGCCAAGAAACGAGATTGTTGCGTGCAGAAAATGTTTAGTTTTTGAACGAAATTCTTAGTATTGGACAAATAAAATTTTCGATAAATTGCTTTCAAGCTAACATATAATCGACAGCAAATACATACGTGTACTTTGACTCAATTTTTAATTGGGAAAACCACTTCGGATGTACCAATAATTTCTCTCGATATTCTTAATATTGTATCTTTGTATCTTTTCTTTTAATTTTGCTCTGTTAGTACTATTTAACTCTTGTATAAGGGTCACTGGTCTTAACAAAATAAAGATAAGGATTTAATCAAGCAAAAAAAAAACATAAGCATTAAATTAAAAGTTGAGGAGGAACGAGTACCTTCAGAAAGATTTTTTTTGTTGCTAGAAACCGTGAGGAAGTTAGGAATAATCACTATTTTTTTGTCAAAAATACTTATACAACAGAGCACATCTTTTTGTTATGGTTGAATACACTTAAAGTATTTCTTTACTTTTAGATTGATTTTGTAAATTTTCTTTTACAATGACTCTTTTTTGAATAAAATTAACTGACCATTTCATTTAAAAAAAAAAAAGAGATAGGGAGCATCTATCAATAATACCAAAAGGAGGATGCTATAGTATTTATTACACCAGACATGGAAAGAGACCGAAGCTAAAGGAGCAATAGAACAGTACATTATTAAGTGCTTAAATATCGACAAAATAAAAGATCCTAATAATCTCCCCTAGCCTCTTCTTGTTTCTCTTTTTCCTTTTGATTTCTTTCATAATTGTAAGTTTTTATATACTATTTAGTTTAATTATTACTATTTCTTAGCAAGCTAGCTGATAACTATTTCTTTTGATCTCTGTGTGCAAAGGACTCCCTTTTCTTCTCTTAAAGGTTTAGTGGTTAGTAATAATTGAAGATTATTTATGGATCCCAATGATCTTTTTAAACTAACAAAAAACATGCGACTAAAGACTAAAAGACATTTTCTAGGTTGCAAGCTTGTACGACCAAACCAAACAATGAGGTTGTAAGTCCCGATCAAACTGTTCAATGTTTTTTTTCTTCAAAAAAAAAAGGCATAAAGGCAATTAATGTGTATATATATTTATGTATATAGAGGAGGCATTTTTAGTGGTCTTTAGGGGTTCCGATGCATATATGATATGAGATGTTTGTGATAAATTTTTAGTCGTCCAAATAAAGGCGGTGACAATAAAGTCCTTGAAAATTAATGAAACGAAACTTAGTTTGGATTTGCCACTAGGCTAACCATTTATGTTGAAAGGTAGGGATATAATTAACAGTGATTAATTAACAAAATCGGAAACAGATTTAGCTCGTGTCATTAAAATTTTACCATAAAAAGATAATGACTTATTTCAAAATATATGTATCTTATTCCTAAGAATATTTTTTGTTTATACGTAATTAAATTATAAGCAATTACGTACGTTACGTACAAATAGAACCCAAAAAAAAAAAAGATTACTGTGTGAGACATAGTGATGCATATATGTACAAGACAGAACTTAAATACGATTCTTTCCACTGCTTTTCTTAATTAATTAAGCACTGAAACAAATCTAATATCTAACGTGAACAAGTTTCCCTTTGCAGATGCATAATTACAGATATTCAAATTTTAAAGAGTATTTATCCCAAAATAGCAGCAAACCATTACTAAATTATGAAATATGCGGCCTTAATAAATAAGAAATAAATAGTAAAAAATCAATATAATTATATCCTAACCGAGCACCGGTTGAGGACTGGAACCATCAGTGAACCGTTTTTTATATATATATTTATATAAAACTAAAGAAAAACAAACTACAAGACAAATAAAAACATATATAGCTCGGATTATTGGATTTAGGAACCAAAATAAAAACGGCATATAACTGGTTTTCCACCGATTTTACAGATTCGATCAGTTTTATCCCGATTTCCTTTTAATTGGTTTTGATCTAGTTTTAAACTGGACCAAACACCAGTTCTTAATGAACCAGTTGGTTCGATTTGATTCTGACAGTCGTAAAATGAATAGTAACAAGTAATTTGGTTTCAATGTAATACATGGATTAATTAACTATGCAATTTTTAGACTAATATTCAAAAGCTACCAAGCATAAAATTAAAACAAATACATCGCTACTAATCAATACATACACACATATATATAACATAAAATTAATAGGGAGACGCAATTGTGAAAACTGTCACTCGTTTCTTTAACTCCACAAATATACGCAGTGCAGGGCGATCCATCTACTTTATTAAACGGATAACAGTAAGTTTATATGTAGTTGTATTTCAAATATCTTCCTGGTGATGTTGAAGAAAGACATAAAATTAACAGAACACCCCTAGTTCTGAAGAATTTGGAAGAGAATGATCACATCCATTTGACAAACCTATCATATCACACATACACACTTACACTTGTATACAAGTCATAAGGTGCACAGATCTGGTGTATATAAAAACCCTAAGTTTTTCTTCCCTAATTAAACAGCTATATATATATATTTATATCTGCACACAAGTCCTAAGTAAAGGTGACAGCTGAATTACTTTTTCTTCTACTATTGAACCTGGTTTTGCTTTCCATCACAAATAGAAAACCCAACCCACCACTTTCTCTAATTTGCTTTGCCGGTCCCAGCAATTTCTGCCTGCCGTAGGCACTTCTAAAACTGCTTTTTTTTTTTTTTGGGTGTAATTACTGATAATATAATATTCAAAATTTTCCCTTACTCTCTCCTTCTCTCTTTCCCTTTGGATTCCATCTCTCTCGCCCCCCCCCCCTCTAAATCTCTATATATACAGAACCATCGACTTTTACTGTTGTTAAACATACATAGCCTTGAAAGAGAGAATAAAGGCTTTTGCTTGTTGCTTATTGCATATTGTTTTCTTTTCTTCTCCTTCTTCTTCCTTGTCTTTCTTCTTCTGTAGTTTCCAATTTCCCTGTTGAGAGGCATGTCAAGCTGCAGCATCGATGTTGCCCCTGAGCAACTCTGCTACATCCCTTGCAACTTTTGCAACATTGTTCTTGCGGTATCAGCTCTTCTCATGAATTTCCAGAAACTCTTTCCTTCCTTCTTTCTTTCTGATTAATTTAATTTAGTGGGAGGTCGATCTTTTTAAACGGCTTATACATATATTTTTGAAGCTTTTGTTTATCAATGGAGAAAGAACTCTTTTAGATCCTGAAAAAGGGGGGCTATGCTCCTCTGTGCTTTACATGCGAACCTAGAAGTGGTCATGTTACATTTGACACCAAGCTATTGTTATCATACTGATAAAATTTAAATTTCTGGCTTTCATTGATCTCTTTCCCTTTGTTTGTGGTTAAAGTGAGGTCTCCATCCATCGCTGCACGTTTCTTTTCTTTTACAGTCAAAGAAAAAAGTCATACCCTGAAGCTCATCACTCAACTGATCCCCCCACAAATATACTTGCTTTCTCTGAGAACACAGAAAGTGAAGAAATTTTGGGTTCTGTGGTTTCTGTGCCCCTTAATGATATGACCAAAACGATAAGTATTATAGGGTGAACAAATTTTTTTTTTTAAAAAAAAAAACTGTTGATAGGACAACTCCTCTCCCTGTACATTTGATTTCCTCTATCTTCTTGCCCTCTGAACCAATTAATTAATTTCCCTTTCCCTTGTGATAAAAGTACTAAGCACAGCTTCCTGTCTAAACTTGTTTTCTTTCGCTCAACAGCAAATTTTATGAGAATCTGTAGATCCTTAGGTCATATCCATTCATCCCCTTGATATAATACCCTTTAATCCATTGTGCATCTGGCAGTGCTAGGGTTTTCTTTCCTTCTTCTTCTTCTCATCTTCATCGACCCCCTCTTTTCGTCATGTGATCTCTGACGGGTTTCTTCTCTTGCAAGAGAGATTTGTATATTTCTCTGAAATTTTTTTTCTTTAATGATAAATAAATAATAATTATGATCAAGGTATAATGTTTGTTCTTTGTATGCAGGTGAGTGTTCCATGCAGCAGCTTGTTTGACATAGTGACCGTTCGATGTGGACACTGCAGCAATCTATGGTCAGTGAACATGGCTGCTGCGTTTCAGTCACTGTCGTGGCAAGATGTTCAGGTTACTCACATTTCTAACTAATTAGTTTCAGCTTATTTTCAGGGGGGGGCTTTCACTTTCATTTTCATCAAAACATAATCACAAGATAAATATATAATAATCACTAGATGGCTAGCTTCTTTGTGAGTTCTGAATCCTAGGGTTTCCGGGTGTTATCTTCTCTTTTTGAGAAAATCGAAGCTATTTGGCCTTGACCTTCTCACTTCTCAGGTATCTTCTCTGTGTGTGTGTGTGTTTCTGTAGTGAATGGTATGGAATCGAGTGTGCTGTGTTCCTGCAGAAAACCCTAGAGCACCTGCAGCCGCCATCATCAAGCCTATTACCCTTTTTTGTTTCAGCACTTTTAGTAGAGTCGTCAGGGTCTGTCCCTAATCCCTTCAAGCCAAACTGAAGGGTTTGGGTTTCCTTTTTATTATTATTTTTTTTATGCTTTCCAAGATGCGCCTTGATTTGATAGACGTGTATGAGAGGGAGAGTTCTTAGGTTCAGTGATTTCTTTTCACGATCTTTGTCTTCTACTGTACAAACAGCCCTTGCACAGGTTTTTCTTTCTTTCTTTCTTTAAAAATATTCCTTTTAGATTCTTAAATCGAAGCCCTACATTAATTTGAACAACTGTCGATCTGGGTTTCATGTACTTCTTGTTATTCATCTCTGATGAGTAGTGTTATGGTCTTCTTCCAGCTAGACTAGTCCACTACTCAATACACTTATACCGGTATCTCACTAGATCTGTTCCCCAAACTAGTAATAACTACCAACGTAAACTCACAGAATCAGTCAGAAACCAAAGATTCCATTTCATTTATTTTGATATGCTTTTTTATTACTCTTTCTCTTGGCAAGGATTAGAAATTAAGAGAGAGAGGGAGGGGGGGAGATAAAAGAGAAAAAGAGACCCTCCTTTCCCATCTTGTGAGGAAACATTAATCATACTTAGTACAGTCTTGCAAAGCCAAATGCAGAGCTTCGTAATTTCACTCCTAATTTCTCTAGGAATAATTAATTTTTGCTGGTACAAAGAACTGACTAAAAGTATTGTGACTGTCAAGGTGCCCTAATTAATTGAAACACCCTCGTTTAATAAATTCCCATTAAATATTTAATGAATTTTGTTTTAGCAATGATTGCCCAATTTATTAGTTTACCAACCCTTGTACTAAAACTTTCTCGCATACAAGACACTGATCAGAATGAATATATAGCAGCTCACCTAAATCAATACATCATTGGATGTCTAGCTAGCTAGATCTCCTTAACAAATAAAACTCTCTTGGCTTTATTTTACTGAATGAGCGCTCTTTCTCAAGTTCAGTACAAAACTGGCCAGCCAAAACATTAAGTCTATATGTGTTTGTAAATTTTTTGTTTCTCTTTCTATTTCTTCCCCCCTCTCTCTCTCTCTATATATATATGTTTATATATTGGCTGAACTTTACTATTGTTGGGTTTCAATATCAGGCACCCGGATACAACAATCCGGAATACAGAATTGACACAGGTTCCTCTTCCAAGTGCAACAATAATATGCTTGCAATGAGAGCACCCACCAATCATGTAACTAAAGAAAGAATTGTGAACCGGCGTGAGTCTATATAACCCCTTTTAATTTCCAAACTCAAAAGTTTTTATATCATATCTCTGTCACACATGCATATATTTAACCTTTGTATATGTTTTATGTTATAATATCATATACAATATAATACACTATCTTTACGAGGTGTTGTTTTCTATTGCAGCTCCCGAGAAGAGGCAGCGCGTACCTTCTGCATATAATCAGTTCATAAAGTAACTAGCAAAAGCATATCACAGTTTCACAATCTACATTTACATAATATCTCTCTCTATATATATATATCCATTCAATAGGCAAACTACTTATAACTTAATAAAGATATATTTATGATTGAAAGCGTCTTAATTTGTTTGTATATATGCAGGGAAGAGATTCAGAGGATCAAGGCTAATAATCCAGATATCAGTCACAGGGAAGCATTCAGTACAGCTGCGAAGAACGTAAGCACGCAAAAAATATATGCCTCTATATATATAAGCATCTTTTTGGTTCATTATATCTTAATATTGTCTTGTTTGATTCATCCCATGGATTAATTATGGCAACTATTTCGTTTTAGTGGGCACACTTCCCTCACATTCATTTTGGGCTGATGTTGGAGACTAACAACAATCAAGCTAAGATGGAGAATGTAAGTATTAAAGGCAATCCATACTCTTCTTTTTTTCTTCTTTTCAGATATAGTTAGTTAGATATATATACATATATATCGATCATCCAGTATAACATACTCTTCTTCATTAATTAGAAAGGAAACGCAAGCGTAGTTGTTAAGCATTAGTTCTATCAAGTCTTTCAATACAGATATAATGTTATATATGCTGAATTGGTCTTGGTCATTAATTTCGTCCACTTACATTTTTTGAAACATATTTAGATCATATTGCACACCTAGATATGAGGCAAGACGCCAAAAAAGGAACAAAAGAAAGGCATCTAACAAACTACTTTAAAATAACGAAATATTTTACATACCCAGTATGATAACACTGTTATATATATAGCGCACACACAGAGATAGGATCATCTACACATACATACATATATATAGCTGCATGATAAATACAGTTGATATATAATGTGATGCTGTGTGTGCATTAATTTTTTTGAATTATACGTATGTGAATGTGTGCAGGGGAGTGAGAACCATTTAATGACGACGGCAGCACTTTTGAACAAATGAGAGGAAAAAGGCGATCGATAATGTGAAAATATGAAGAAGGATGACGAGATGACTGTGAGTTACGTTGAGAGTATCAATTATTAGTAAACAATTATATGTTGTCGTCGTCGTGACCTAATGTGTTGTTATGAACGATTACTCTTTTCCTTTGTATCGGTGTACGTACTTACTTGTATTCATCATGTCTGATCTCTCTCTCTCTCTCTTTTTCTCACTACTACTTGTTCAGTCGACGTTTTTCACTTCTATCTTTAAGTGAGAATCCTTCCTTTTTCTCCCCTCTTAATTTCACATCGTTTTCAACAATATATATAATGACGATCAATACTATAAAATCCAACAAGAAAAATACAAACGTAATTTTGTTTATCCATTTTGAATTTTTGTGAGTGAATGTGGGATTATGCCCATATATAGTCGTTCTTTTATTTATGGATTTATATTACTCGTACTAGGCAAACTCAGGAAAAAAAGAAGAAAAAGAAAAGCTGTAATTTTAATTTAAAAGTACTAACCATGGCACGGATTATAAAAGTCAATACTATTGATCCTCAGGCTGACAGTGTACTTAATGATGATAATAATAATGACTTTTCTTGGCCTGGTATTGGTGATAATTAGATATATATCTTGTTTCAATTTATGGGAGATAAAATAAAATGTCTATACGTAAATTCTCTTTATGATATACATTATGTCTTCCTTATATATTAGGATATGAGGCAGTTATTTCCATTGGAAAAAACAAAATAGCTGGTCATATATATATATATATATATATATGTATAAGTGTAATATTGGCTTGCATTATAAATCATGTTGTTTGAAAATATGGTATTCTTTTTCTCACTCTTTTGGCCTAAATATGAAAATGTGATATTCACGACATGCTTATTATTTATATACATATATACCGCTCTATATTTGAGGACTTCAACTTAATTATCGGATATATATTAGCTTTTCTTTAAAGGATATCACATATAGAAGAAATATATAATCAAATAGTAGGATTATCCGTAGCTGATGATTACAACTTTCATGGCGCTATTTTTTTTGAACTAGCTTTTGCATGATGCTGTCACACACACACACACACATTTTCTTTAGGTTTCAACCTCTAATGAGAATCTCTTGACAATGATTTTTCAAATTTAATTAACTGAGTTTGTATGTGCTGCATGTGATGTGAGGCTAAGTACACCCATGAAACTTTTTTGTTGGACCTGAAGTACAGCTATGAAAGTAAAACAAAGGGATGTAGTAATCAAACTTTAACTAGCAGGGTTGAAGATTAACTTTGCAATTGTAGTGGAAACTATATCACACATATACACACACACACTTTGCTTCGTCTCTTTTCTCTTGTAGTTATGATATAGACTACGATGATCAATATAACGAGTGAGAGCGAAATAGGGTTTTAAGATATATATGCGTAAAAGGGGAGAGAAGAGGGTAGGACCAGAGTAAGAAAAAGAGGGCTGCTTTTGCCCATAAATTGAAACTGAGAAAATCTGAGGAAAGATATGGTCAGGCTCTCTGATGCAACTGATAAATAATAAAGATGAATGAATGAATGACCAAACTTTTCGTAAAGGGAATTTATGGACCACCATTTTGGCATTATGGAATCCTCTCTAATTTCCTTTCTTTCTCTCTATCCATCCATCTATATATACATACACACCCTAGTTTCTCTCATCAGATCATCAACCATACTGAACATCCCAAGAATCTCTTCCCCAAAAATATCAAACATTAAACCTTATGATCAATATGTCACTGTCGCACCTTCCACCTTCCAACTTAGTGGTTGCAACATTCATTACTATATTCTGACCAACCCACCTCTCTGTGCACAGTCAAAAAGTTTCTTATAATATAACGGTCTTTACAAGTGCTCCTTCATATAAAGAAGTGTATCCCTGCGTTCCCACCAAAAATAACCCAATCTTGCTTGCATTAAATTTGTGCCCCTTGAACAAAATATGCTTTTTATTTAATCAAACAAATGGGGATCCTGGTTATAAGATCGTTATATCATATATATTCGAGAATTCTCAATTAATTAACATATACCATCGACAGAAAATAATAGCATTAGTGAAAACTAGAAGCAGGGATCTATCCTCACGAGGTATAGTGGCAGCAAATTTTAATTCCTTGAAATGTGTTTTTTTTTTTTGGGGTGCAGAATAGTGAGTATATTATAATAGGAAATGGGAATGTGGGGATGATGAAAGGAAGAAAAGCAGAAAGTAAAAAAGGAAAAGGAAAGGAAAGAGAAAAGGGGGGAAGGGGAGAGAATACGTATGACTGCAATTCTGGGCGTATTGGCGCAGTGTGTAGAGGCTGCTGATTCTGACAATTAGAATCTGAAACGTCAATATCAGACTTTGTACGTTTTTATGCATTTTCACTTATTTTCGTTGTCATTTCACCTCTCTCCCTTTCTCTCTCTGACTTCTTTATACTTCATCAATACATTACCCCCCCCCCCTCTCCGTTTCAAACTCTCCTTGCCTCCTTGTAACTCTCACCAGCATCATTCCTCTTCTTTCTAATTTTCCTAACATTCCTCATATCAAACACTAGCAACCTTATTAATCTCTTCACTCTTTTATGGAGGCCTTGAACCTTACTTTTATAAAATGTAGCCACCGCCCTCTGAAGAAGATCTTAAACAGGATTAAAAACATCATAATTTACACTGTTCCATTTCTTATAATGAGCATATGATTGGAGAGGAGAACTCGTACAACAACTAGTTAGCCCAAAGTAATCATCACATATATGAAGCTAAATACTAAATATACTCCTCCTACTAGGGATTAACATCCCCACTTTTGAATCTCTGGATCTCTTTTATATATATATATATCCCACAAGCTTGTAAACTCAAATGAACCTCGATCTCATGCCATGAGAACCTTAGAAGTTTACCCATTTGGGGTGAAACAAGTTCTAGATGAAACCTGATTGAGCTAGCAAACCAAGTGTATGTAAGGCATCAAACATGTAATAAATAATTTGAAGCAATTTACAATACCTGATAGTGATAGCTAGCGCTGACTGTGTAGCGACATGTTATAGTGCAGGAAAAGTGAAGAGAGGCTACATATAAACATGCAACTATATAGCTGATGCATAATAGGTGGGGACCGAATAAATGGCAAGTTTGGGGTGAAAATGATAGACCAGTTAAGTGTCGTGGGAAACCATAGCAGCAAGTGATGGTGATTCCAAAGGGGCAAAGTCATGAACAAGTATTATCCAAATTATTGCTTTTTGTGAGATAGCCATCTCACCCGCGTGGCGTTCTTACTTCTTCTGAGAAAGAGGACCACATCTCTCAGAGCATTTCCCGCTAACATGCCATGCCCTTCAATTTGCTCAATCCTTTCCAATTATCTATTCATCCCCACACTTTTCTTTGCCTTTGCATTGGATTCTACTTGTTGTATATATGTATGTACATTGCTAAACACTCGCCAGTCCCCCATCTTTTTTGGGAGATAGATAAAGAAAACAAAGCACATAAAAGTGACAAGAGAGAGCTCTCTAAGGAGGCCACCAAACATCATGAGAGAAAATAGATATAAAATATATAAAAACCCATACGACGACAAGCTGAGAATTATTTTATGAATCAATTGGCCTTCGGGAGTATGTTAAAATATTTGGAATTTATGACAATGTTCCCCACAGGATGATCATGGAAAATGTCTTTCTAGTTACCAATATGATATGACCAAAGGGGACTCTTAACTAAATTATCCACTTCCTGTTCCCAAGTGAGAACGCAATGGAAAGCTCAGCTTCAATATAGATGACCCATGATGAACCCCAAAAGAAAAAATGTAGATGGCCCATGGTTCTACACTGATGTCATAAGTGCTATTTGGCTGATTAAATTTGATATTAAATATAAAACTTTAATCTAATACATCTTTTAGACTATCACTTTTTTAAAATTATTTTTTTTGATTACACATAGTAAAGAAATTTATATTTCAAAGCAAATGATTTAAGGGGATATTTTAGAAAATTACCAACACATTTTTAACAAATAATTCATTTAACTAATTTTTTTAATCTATCTAAATTAGTTAAAGAAAACTTATATTAAGAACTAAAAGTAGTAAAACAAATCTGACTTGATAAGGATAACTAAAGAAATAAAATACAAAGTTGCCGTAACAAAACTACTGACAAAGAGGGCCTTTATTTGCTGGGTCGTCCCCAATGAGCTTTAACCAAAATTTAAAATTGAGGATAAGGCAAAGATTGGTTGTTCGGTCCAACGAGACAGATGGATTCAGTTGCTTCGGCTTTACTTTCGTAAAAGCCGACGCTCATTACAAGCCGCTCACGGAAAACCCATTTAAAGTTGGTAATACGATGCTTATACGCATTTTTAGTAAACTCCAAAACGGCTGGCTCATTCCTGATATATGAGCATAACCTCAGCTCTCTATTTTATTCTCTGTTCAGCCTGGGCCACAAATTACAACGAACTAAATGACTAGTAAATGATTTCCTAGTGGACGACCTGCTTTGGAATCCTCGGTTCAAATCCAAGGTCCCTGGTACAGATTGCAGGTAAGTCAGGTGTGCATTCCAAGACAAAAAATACCGCTCCAGACGTAAAAAGAAATAATCTGCTTGTCAATATTTTGCAGTCTTCCTACGAGCCCCGGAGGCCGAAATATAAAGTGGAAAAGACAAAAAAGAGAGACTGAATTGTTATCCTTAAAAAAGACTTAATTTTTAATTCCCTCGTATCTTCACTCGCAAAACAAAAGCAGTGTGCCTGTACAAATGACTGAGGATGGACAACAAGAGCTAAAAAAAACTATTAGCCAGAGGGAAACAAAAATCGACAGGAAAACTTCTGAAGTCTAAACTTCCTCGTTTCAGTCAATAGCAGATAGCGTTTTTACCAAAGGAACTGAATGATAGCCTAGCCTTGTCATTGGATCCAAAGCTGAACTTTACGTCACCAGCATCATTCTGGACAGCTGTACTACTTGTAGAAGGGAAAGAAAACACTAGACTGGATCTTTTTGATCCAAAACTATATGATGGTTCCGTTGAAACTTCTGTTGATTGGTGCTGACCCCCCGCGGAGAACGATGGCAGGATGGATGGTGTGGGTGGCTCCGAGAATACAGAAGAGGAGGCAGAAACAGGGAAGGTAAATCCTGAGCTCTTATCTGATGTCAAGGTCCATTTTGACTCAGGCTTGTTGACGTAAATAGATGGTAATACTGGTTTGCTAACTGAAGAGTTGTAGAGAGGTATCTTCTCTTGAGTATTCACACTAGGCTGATCACCAGATGTGAAAATCTTCAATGCATCCTGGACAAATATTAATAAATCTAAGCAAAAATGCAATGTTGCTTCAAAAGTAAATCAAGGCTGAACAATCTTCAATAAATTGACCGCCATAAAGAAACAGTTTCTATGCTCATTGGTTAAAAAAGGAAAATGTCAAACCACGTGCAAGTTTTCATGCCCATTAGATGATTGAGTACCTCTTCAGTAGACTTCACTGAAAATTTTTTAGCACCATTAGCATCTTGCAAGGACCTTGTATCATTTCCAATTTTTAGGAAGCTATTGTCAGCATTGATTCCAGATGGCAAAGCCATTGCATTGTTGACATTGATAGATTTGTCAGCACTCTCCCTATCAGCATGGGAGTTCCCTTGATTTTCATTTAGAATAGATTTTTTTCCATCACACCCATCATGTTTATATGGATCGGCTTGTTTTAATTTCAGAAGGCCATTATTTTCATTTGACAAGACACCATTGACATTATCAGAAGACTCCGGATTCTTCCATTTAGTAGCCAGCTTCAGCTCTGCAGACTTCTGTTGGGGAGTGGGAGGATTTCTATCTATATGCTCCAATATTCTCCTAGCCATCAAACTGGTATGCATGTGTACCGTTGGAAGAGCAACCCCACTGCCCTCTGGCTTGTTATCTAATGAGTGGAATTTATGAGTATATCCAGTCTTGTCAGGTTCCAAACTCTTTGTAAAAGCAGGCAAGAAACCTTCACGAACATCTGAACTTTCTTTCTGTCCAGAGACATTCAGAGGTGAAGGCGTGTAAGCCGGCCTTCTTGAAGAAGACTCTACACCAGTCTTGTGCCTAATTCGACGAATGGGTCCAACAGATCCATAGCCACCCTCTAATGCATCGCCTCTAGATTTATCCTGCATATCATGGTTAAGCGAACAATCTGATATACAATAGACTGAAAACAAAATAAAAAATCAACACAAAGGCCAAAAGTTAAGTCAAAGATATAGAAACTCTGTCACATACTTCTGCTAAACGACAGAAAAGCATGTTAGTAAAGTCCAATTGCATGGTCATTGTATTTGACAACTTCAAATGGCTTTGAACTTAGTATATGACAACATTCCAATTTCTCACACTAAGTTGCATCATCAGAAGTTAACATGTTAACTCAAGACAGAATGACTCTCATAACCTATTCAGCATTAAGAATTATGCCAATTTATGCTTCAAAAGATCACCAAGAAAAAATGGAAAAAAAAATGAACCTATAGCCCCAAAAACACATAGGATAATGAAGTTTTTTCTGTTCATTTTTCCTTTTCCTAACCCCCCCCCCAAAAATATGGGTAGAGGGATAACATAGCTTCTCTTTGTTACTAAAAAACAACTAAAATTTGAATCCGGGCACTTCAAATTCTAACAAATCAAATCAACCAGAAAATTAACGAAAATCCAAATAGAGTTTGTAGTGTGCATATTCTTTAATGAACAAAAGAAACATCACTATTAAAAGACAGTCAAGAAATAATTGGTAAACCAAAAGATACCTGCAGATACATAGTCTGCGATTGATGGAGGGGAGTTGATGACATATGACTGTAATTGCCTTGCATATGAATCGACTGAACAAAAAAAAGTCATTACATATACAGAAAATTCTTGAAGCATGACAGTGAATGATAAAGTTCTCAAAACAAAATGTACCCTGGACTTGGATTTAGATAAAATGGTTCTAGAATAAGGCGTCCTGGGGAAGTTATGAAGCCCATATCCCCTAGTTTGGCTTCGTGGTGTTGTGAAAGAATCTTGTACCACAGCACCTGGCCAACATGCTGATGTCTTTGGCGTAAGTGATGGAACATATGGCTTTATAGCAGCTTCATTGCCATGTAGCACACTGCTTTCAACAGTGTGGACTGTGCTCTTAGAACTGGGGCCTGCTTCAAAAGCACGGGAACCCATATAAGCCTTTGCAATCTCAATTGGTGAGGCACCAATATCATCTTGGACCTGAAAGTTGTTGATATGATCATAATGTAAACTCAATGATCAGGGTTATCTGCTCTAGAAGTCAATGAGTTCTACGAAAAAATAATAGAGATTCAAGGTAGTATTAAACTTAGATATTGACAACTGTTCTCACTCTTAGAAAACCACCTCGAAGAATAAATAATCTTAGAGTCACGCTGGAAAAGTGTGACAAACAAACAACCCATATCTACCCTATTTTCAAGTTCTCTAGAAATAAAACACGAACAAAATGCTCAGTTTGTCTCAGGCATTACCTAGATAGACCATGGAACAATGTATTAATGGGATATGGACTATAAATGTACAGTGTTTTGAATAGCATGCTATCTTGCGGAGAATATAATATTTCGGGAGGCAATCACTGCAACAAATACCAGAACAGAAGTCCTAGGTTCTGTGGTCGTCAATATTCCAGAGTAGTCAGCAGAAATTTGAAAGCAAAAGATGAAACTGAACCATTAATTAAAAAACAAATTGATGATAATTTGTCTTGGAGACAAAGACCTTGATGTTCCAGCAAATGTCAAATATTTAAAAAGACAAGTTGAAGTACCCACATTTGACCTTTCAAGAGGTGTTGAGCTTCCCCATAAAGCTCCACTCAAGTCTTCATGCCTTTGTTCGTTTGACATTTTTGGAATATCATGTGACAGTATAAGATCTTTGTTGTCATTTCTAACAGTCAGACTAACATTTTCCTCTCCTTGTACAGCATTAGGAAGATCACCTGCCCTCGATTTTATTATCTCCATCAAACGATGAATCTCATCTCTACAGGAGAAGGACAACGACTTTAAGCATGATCATGGTTTAGAAACCATTATAACAAGTTAGTAATGCTGTCCCCAAGGTTTGATAAAGCCATAAACTCACAACTTCTCTTAAAAAGAAACCTAGAATAACGCAAGCAAGCTCCCATAACAAGGTGATGCCAATAAAATAAACAAAAAGAACTAGAGCAATGAAACCTAGACTGACGCATGCAAGCTCCCCCAAAAAGGTGCGCTCAATAAAATGAATAAAAAGACCTAGAGGCTAGAGCAATGAAAACCTTTTAAGCCATCAGCAGAATATAGAAGCAAGGACACTAAAGAGGGTTTAGTTTAAGAACAAAAATAGGATTTAAAATTCCAATCTTCCTCCAGTAATATCTAAGCCTTTGGGATGAATTAGACGTAATATGTGATTGCAGGATAGAATTCTGAAACTAGCAATCCAACCAATATAAATAATTACTATTATGTCAATTAAGTTGTACCTAGAAAATCTTTTCCCCTTCACCAGCTGCTCAATTTCAGATAGTTGTTATTTTCAGAATGCTCCCCATTTTCATCCTGTCCATGCAGAATAAAACCAGAACTGCTCCTCAGTTTATTATCTATTTCACCAGTACTTTCTGTTTCAGCTGATTTGAATGTCCCATCCTGCAAAAGACATAGTATAGTCAATGAAATGTAAGGAACTAAGGAAAAGCCGCCAAATTCAGTATGATCCTTGCCCCATGTGCAGGAGGATAGCAAGGAGGAGAGGGGCAGCATAGATGCGGTCAAAAACTAACTTTGTGGAAATCAAACAACCTTCCCAAGATGGAGATTTCAGACGAAACCATATGAAGATATATAAGCATTAACGTAAAAGGGGGGGTGGGAGAATGGCAAAGCACACGAGTCTACAATGAAAAGATCAACATAATTAATGACCAGTCACAATGACGTAAATGAACAAGGCCAAGCTGTCACAATAATGACACAGAAGAAGAAATAGATATGCAATACTTTGGAAAATACGACTTTAAAGCATTGGGGCAATTAGAGCACAAGGCATCAATGAAGACGACGATGCTCTAGCAGAAGGTTTTTTTTTTTTTTTTTAAGGAGCAATGGTTAGCAGCATTTCCAGGCTTTGTCCAAGCTAAGTCTCATCCCTTTATGATCTTAAGAACACACGCCTCCATATTAGCTCAGTGCGTTTAGGATTTTCCTTCCAAAGTGTTTCCCATCAATTAGAGATATTATCTCATATGAAATCTGTTTAGAGCTTAACTGCTTATAATGAGTTCAAGAGTTAGTAAGATTTTTTTACTTATTTTTTATTCCTGTTTTCACTTTTAAATGTCTTCTCGTGGCAGTAGCTTCAATTTTCCAAAGTCTTGGCTTAAAATAATAGCCAAACAAACAAAGCCATTTTAGAACACTGCATTTAGTATCAGCATATCTTCCGAGTTGAATATAACTGGGAACTTTGCTGAGGAGCTTTCCACATTTTCACTAAAAATCGTTAGTAAGACTTGCCGATGTTCAATAGAGTTTATTGTGTTGCAATGCCGTCCAAGCAACTATCAGTTCATTAAGTACTTACTTCAAGATTCAAACCAAACATTTTTCCTATGGTGAACATGGAATTCTATATTGAGCAAAGGCCCCCAACATTGAAATTAGTAACTATCAAGCATAATTATGTTATAAATCCCCACAAGGATTGTACTTCTATCTTACGAAATATAGTGAAGGCACCAAAATAAATCTTACCCAAATCATTTTCAGATGTGCAGAGAAGGAAGTCTTAAATACACAGAATGTATAGAGAGAATATAGAGGAATACAAAAATTGAGAAGCAGTTTTTCTAGTTTCGTGTGAAGCACCAAGTTCTTACATGTAAGTCACCTTTCTGCCTGTCATCCCTATGACTTTCTTTACCTGTCAGCCACTTACCTATAGCAGTGAACAACTTCATTAGAAAAATGTGTGCAATGAATCAATGAAATATATAGCAAATGGACACGAATGGTGGGCACAGCATTCATTATGCCCTGAGAAGCATTAACATTATCTACAGCCACATGCAAAGGGGCACCAAATATTTATCAAAGGCATAGACAGCACCAGATGATTTTACAATCATTCTGTTTAAGAATGAGCAGAAACAGAGATAGCAAAGACATTATAGCTAGGACATTAAAAATAGTAGCTTCAGGCAAACTACATATCTATATCTTCTTTCAATTTCTTTATTGTTAAACATTTTCTTCACTTAAAAGGAAAAAAATCAGCGCAGTGAATCCCATAAATTTTGATGCCATCACCATCATCAATCCCATTCAAATACAGAACATCAAAGCACAGTCATAAAATTATTGTTTTCAATAGAGCTCTCTATTTGCTGTTATGAAAATTCACATAAGCTCCTTGGCCAAAGATACAATTACAGACAGTATTGAAATCATAAAACTTCATATCGTGGACAAAACCATAAATAGGTCTGTTAGTAAAGTTCACTTTCCTACGTATCAAGATATTCAAGAGATTTAGGGCCAAAACCTCAACTGCACTCACCCAACAAGTACTCCACCTCCTAAGAACATTGGATGCGATCATTCATAATTACAACACTTTTCATCCATTCTTAGTCTTATTCTGTACGGAAACCACTATCCATCTCACTATCATAAATACAAAGACCACTGAGTCAGTTTCAACAAAATTAAAGTAAAACCTAGACCCAGCAGCATCAAAGGGATAGGCCACTTCTTGATCTCTACATGTTCCCCCTTTTCTACATTACTAAACTTTGATACAAAGAAGTCTCTAAAGTGGAGCAATCTCATCAATTTGAAACTAAAATTGGTATGAATTGATTCCAAACACATTGCTTATTTAAGCCATAGAGAATTGACATGACCATGCCGCCTTGGGCCATGAGTAAAGACACATGTATGTCTAACAAAAATCATAAAATTTGATGGAGAACCATTTAAGGATCAGAAACAAACCAAGAGGTGAGGATACCATGACACAAGTGAAGGAATGTTACTCTAAGCAGCAGGATCCACATGGCTCCTTGTCTGGCATTTACAGTCATTACTCATTATTCAATTGATAAAATTGACAGCAAGAATTAATATAAAAAATGCTCATCAATAATCACAGTCTATGCTTCTGACACGCCCAAGAAATGACTCCCTAAAATGTCGCTCTCATGCGCATTCTTCCAATATGTTCTGCCATCAAGGCTTTTCACAAATAAATGCTTCTACACCAATGATTCTATTTTCCCGTCTATTATCTAATTTCCATCAAGCATTTCAGGGCAGTGAAAGGGATAAGCAGAAGCCATAAAAATTACACAACAGAACAACAGGCAAGCTTTTTTTTATGATAGGTCCAGCGTGTCGGGTAGGGTGTTCCGGTTATCGACCGTATTCAGCCATGATTTTTCATTGATACAGTTTTGACGAGCCACTACTGCCAGCAAAGCATGCTAGGCATACAAAAGTTAACTTGTGAACTTTACCGTAAGCACAATTGAAACTGGGATAACGCTTGACTGACACATCAGTACGTGAATGGTAGCGAGTGCATGCATCTGAGAAAACATTCTCAAGCTAAAAGCTAACGTACCAACAGTATGTTATCAAAAGGAAAAAAGATTCCCAAATAAGTGGTATAATGGCAAGGCCAATCCCCAACATTAACATGGAGTAACTAAAAACTCAACCCTGAAAATTAACACCAGAGACCAAAAGAACAAACACGAGAATGACAAACAGACGAAGAGTATAGTAAAGGAATGGCAGATAAAACGCTAAAAAGACCTTGATCCTCGGTGGCACTAGTAGGGGCAGGAAGAGCAGGGGTAAAGGAGGTTTTGGAGAAGAAGGAAGGGAAAATCCGAGTAGCTTGACCAGCAATGAGACGGCAAGCAGGATCCACCAGTTTCGAAATCCAACGGCGGCGAGAGGACTCCGGTGGACGCGAATAAGGAGTTGCGGGAGGTTTCCTGGGCAGCAGTCGCCTGACCTTGCCTCCAGCACCTCGCTCTTGTTGTTCTTGTCCTCCTCCTCTTTCATTGGCACCCAGCTGCGTGATTTCATCCGTCGCCATCTCTATTGGAGACTTGGAGCGAGAGAGGACTGGTCGTGAAAATCGGTCGGTGAGGGAGTGAGAGTTGAAGTTCCTGCGGCGGCATATGATCGAGCAGCCGCGAGGTGTAGGGTGTGTCAGGCACTGGGGTTCTTGTGGATCCCATCTGCTTGGAAATTATGTGCTGTACGTCCACGATGGACGTTGGGCCCACCAAGGACTTTCCAAAATTTGCGTGAAACACAGGGGCGTAAAAACTCAAAAGAAAAATTGGAAATTCACTAAAAAAAATTTTAAAAATAAAGTTTGAGTTATATCTTTGTTTTTTTAAAAGTTAAACAACAAAATAATAATAAATGATGATTCTATTATCCATAAATCCAAAATCATATTAATGGCCCAAAAAAACCCCAAAATCGTACTATTATAAATTTATATTTTAGTAGTATGTTTGTTTGTATATTAATAACCATGAGAACTGTGACAAAAAAAAAACTGGAGAACAAAATGCGTCTTTTTCATTGATTTATAAAGATAGAATTATAAATTATAATATCTGGATTAAAATATTACTAAATATCAGGTAACAACAAGATATCATACAATTCGGATGAACTCACGAAATGAAAATCAAATTGAGCCAGGGCCATTTATTACTCGCGAGTCTTGGCGGAAAATTTTTTGGGCATGACATTAACATCCATCCGGACCTGACGCCTAACAGGCTAGCAGCTCACAAGGCCGTTTAGAATAATTCACAATAAAAGCCCAAAAAAAAAAAGAAGCAGAAATTAACAGTATCGCATTTGCATCAGGTTAAGGTATAAATTTATTTTAAAATTTTTTAGTCTGCTCAATAGGTTCGTAATATTAGCCTCTATTATTAAAAATATTAATAATCAGCGTTACTATTTCAACGGTCAATAATTTTCAGTGACAAAAGACAATATTATTATGATTTTGAATTTCTAGACATCCAATACTTCTGAATAAAAATTTGCGGAGCAAATTTACACTTATCTTTTTTATTATAATAATTTGTTTTGGCAAAATGTATGAGAATATTTTATTAAAGCAATGTCGTCATCAATAAATTAATGCGGAATGGAGTAAGTCATGAGATCCAAATAAAATGTTTTTTTTCATAAACCAAATAAAAGATTTATTTTTTAGAGATTTATAATTAATAATATGGATGGATATGGATTAGGCGTTAGTAATGAGTAATTTGGACGCTATGAATATATGATGGATTTCACAGCGCATAACTTGCAGAGGCGTCAATGGAGGAGGATAAGATCGAGAATGGAACAGGGTGGGGGTGGCGTGGGAGAGAAGAGTGGAGGGTCAAAGATTAAGCTCTGGATTCTGTCACCGCATGTGCTTCTACAGCTTCCAAGATTAATAAACATGCGTTGCTCTCTCATATAAAGCCGTTGCCTTAACTCAGCAAGTCTCTGTGGCTCACTGCCACCTCTTTTCCTTTGGGCCTCTATTGCTCTTTTTTTTTTTTTGTTACCCACTCAGTTTACTGGAACTTTATTCCGACTATATCTAGATCCGACTGCATCGCGCACCTGACTGTAGTAGGTGAGTCTCCCAACAGAGATTTCTACATACGTGGCTCGAACTCGAGACCTCACTTAAATAGTACCAAACTGTTTACCACTTAGAGCAACCCGTCTATTGCTTATTTCATAGCGCCTGATCAAAGGAAATATGACAAGACAATTCCTGAATTTAGAACCTTATTCCTCCCAACTTGCCACGCATGTTAACTCAAAACCGGAGCGCCCATTGTTTTTCCTTCATCAGGGCTCAGAGGACCATTGCAAATGGTTTTACTCCTGCTCCAACATAATAATGCATTAGATCCAACAAATACTCCATTTCTCCCCTCAACACAGACAAAGCCCCTTGCACTTTCAAATCCTATTACAAAACCTATACCGTAGTACATACTTCCTCTTCAATCATCGTCCCAGGTCAGCTAGATTATAAGTGAAATCTACTTTAAAAATATACACAGCAGTTGTTAGCTGGCTGATAGCTTTTGCAGAGACATTATTTGCATATCCCCGAACTTGTAGTACCATATTTTAGTTTTACTCAACAAAATATAGATGTAATGACTGGTATCAACCCAGTACACCTTCGTATGGCTAAACTTATAGCTTGTTTGCATATATATGCTTCCTGAGCAAACTACTCAGAACTATATGAAGCTTTTCCAGAAACACGCATCTGTGCATCAAGCAGAACGACGACAAGGTAAAGAAAACGCCCGCCGTTATTTTCATTATTCATCCAAGATCCAACTTTCATGCAATCATGTACTAAGCTGAAGGGAAAACCATTACGACTTATTTGGACGGCCAAAAATTACAGGGGTTAAGGTCATATGGACAAAGTTAGGTAGTCATATGAACTATGCAAGGCATGGCAGGCTCTGCAGAGGGGACGCAACTTAAGAAGCAGCAGCCAAGGGGGGCGGCGCAGGAGGAGCTCCATGGAAAAAGGTAGGAGGTTTTTCAGAACCACCTTTTTCCTCTACTTCATCCTCATCTTCTGCATCCCAGAGGAAATGAGCGTAAGATGCTAGAATGTAACTGCATTCACAGAGTAAAGCTCGGGTTAATTCACAGAATGTCATGAGCTATTGAGCAATAGCGTATTCATAGCATTTTTGCAAACAACACAAATTATTTATCCAAGGTAAAATCTCAAACGAATGATTCTTACCAGTCATCTGGAGCAGCTTTAACTGCTTGGTCGTAATAGGCCTCAGCTCTTGAAGCATCCTTGTGACCTTCCCAAATCAAGTCTGCGAACATGGATAGTACGTTTCCATCACTTGGATTGGCCAAAATTGCTCTGCTGCAATACTCTTCTGCTTTGACGTAGTCTGCACGAACCTGTCGCCATACAAAACCAACATGATTAAAACAAAGTATCCGGATTGCCGCAGGAGGCATTAAGATATATGGACTTCAGCTAATTAAGAAGAACAAACGTAAGAGATGCTTCAATATTCAAATCTTTAATACGGTGTCATGTGACGCTCGAGAAAGTTATATCTTTATCAGCAGTAAAGTTCTATGAAAAGTTGTTATTTGGAAAAAAAAAAAAAAATTCTTTCAAAAGTTAGAACCGAAATAGCAACGACATAATGGGAATTTGATTTCACTTCAAACGGATTTCAGAGTATGCAAAGAGCGATTCTTTTTCTTTTTTTTTCATCAGAACTGGAACACTTAATCTCCAAAGAGGCAGAAGATTACACGACAGACAATAAGCGATAGAATTATGGTGGAAAACAGTGCAGAACAAGGTAGCTTCAACTTTTAGTTCTTTTTTTAAAATTAAAAATACAGAAAATTGTGGATCAACCACAAGCAGAAAAAGAAATATCATACACAGGAAACCAAAAATAGAGCCAACAGAAATTTCACACACCTCTTTCAAGTACTTTGCGTAGTTGCCAAGGAGAAGTGGATTCGCTGGATTTGCTTCGATCATTGTCTGGTAATACATGTCAACGCTATCATTCCCATGATTCGAATCCCAGAACCCCGAACGCCCGTAATCTCCGTTGTCCGATCCACCACCTCCGCCTCCACGACCAATCCTTCCGCCGCCGCCGCCGCCGCCGCCAGTCTCGCCGCCAACTAAAACACCCACCGCGCCATCATCTTTCAGGCCAACCTCACACTCTTCATCCAACTCAGAAAACGAAAACAGCCCACGGCCGTACGACGCCGTCCTGGAATATGCACTGAGCCCTTTCTCCACCCTGCTCTCCTCCTCGTCTTCAACCCAGAGCCCACCGAACATCTGAGTGAACGGTTTCTTCTTGGGTACAGAGAGGTCCCGGAGATCCGTCTCCGACAGCGCCCGCGTCATTTTATTCACGGAATCGTCCATCCGAGATAAGGAGCTCGACGAGGCAGACAATGTAATCGAGCGATTTCTCGGAATCTGATGAACCATTTCTGGTTCGGGAGACGAATCCTTCGAGTGAGGATGCCATGAGTTCAGAATCGGCGTCGATGAACTACGAAGCAGCATCGTCGTTCTCTCCGAAATACGGGATCTTCTTCCACAGAATCCCTAAAATTCAGAGATTTAGGTAGAAATTAGAGGAATGCGAACCTCCCCTTCACCCAGAAACCAATCTGGAAGTAGGAACTGGAGTACGGAGAAAGAAGGTGGCGGCCTCATTTTATACCGGAAGAGGTGGGCGCTACGATAATCAATCTCAGCCGTCGATTTTTCATCAAGAGGACTCATTGATTGAATTCTAAATTCTGCCAGACTGCCACTTAGTCGCTGTTCACGGGTCGTCTCTTTTCGAGTTTTCGGACCCAAAAAAAATAATATAATAACGTCGATTCGCTTTCTGCCTTTACATCGACGCGGGAGGGAATAGTTCACGTGATGTGGACCCCAGTCCAAACCGTTAGATTTCAGACACGGAAGGAATTAACGGTGGCGATGCACTTTCTTCCACGTTGGTCGTCCACATCATCAACACCCATATGGAGCCCTTAGGCCTGACAAGGAAACAGTGAAAAATCATGATTTTTATGGGATATTTAGGATTCTAGTGGGCTTCGTAAAAAGCACAGGAAGTTCGATGATATTAACGAAGTTGCCATCGTTGCCTCCGAATGGTTGATTTGGGCCGTGGCGGGCCGGGTTATGTGACAGCGGAGCAAAGTCAGTGATCATTTCACCCTCACGTGGGGCCCGGGCCCGATTCAACGGTGAGGCTATGAGCCTGGGCGTCGCGGTCACGGGGTCAAGGAATGGTTACTTCTTGGCTCAGCCCCTTTGAGGAGATTATTATGGGCCCCACCACGATGAGCGTCGCGGAGCGGCGCAATTTGGAGGCAAGGATACTATTGTCATTTGACTCCATGAGCTAATTGAGAAACAAACAGAATTTTTGTTCCCTGTTTTATTATAATTGCCTTTCCTGTTTAGGAAAATGATCCGGCTCGTCGTACGGCCAGTGCAAATGTTCGTGTGAGGTTTAATTTTTTAATATATTTTTTTAATCACATCTGAGTGCTGAGATTTTTGTGGCAATTATATATTTAAGTCAATTATTTGTGAACAATAAGTTTTATGTGTATTATTGTTTGTTTATAAATGGATACCATTTATTCCATGGATGAAATGATTTGCTCTAACACGGGACCAGACGTATAAAATAAATTCTTATCGATCACATAATTTGCACCTTAAAAGCTATTCTATAATTATTTTATCGTGCTGGATAAATATGAAGAAAGAATATTACTAGAGAACATGAATATATATATATAATTGTACATATGATCATGAACTCTTATAATTAGACTCTATTTTTTTTTCCTGATTATGTATGTGCGTTTACTTTCATGAACATGAGTGATGGAAGGTGTTTAATACTCATCCAATATTTAATTAACTAATTTAAATATATTAATAATATTTTTTAAATTAGTTAATATGATGTTTTTTTAAAAAAAATTCTAAACATCTTTTTTAATTTTCTCCCTCATTCTCCTACTTGATTATTATAAATTTAATTTGAAAAAAAATTAATAAATATGTAAAATAAGTTCTATATATAGGTCAACATCAACTTTCTAATTAAGTTTTATGCTAATTACCGAAGGAGTATTACCCCTCTGGTTCCCCCCCCCCCCATCAAAACGTTTGGAAGAATCGATATAATCTTTTTTTCTATCGTGCAATATATAATTTTATACATTTACGGTCAATGAAAGTAAATTATTTCAGAAAAGCCAATTATTAGTGAAATATTATGCGTATGAGGAGACAGCTGGACTGATGGTCCATTTTCTCAGGCTGAGCCTTGGGTATTAAATTAAATGGTTGAGGGGGAAAGATTCCACCATATTTGACTTGTTGTGCTTCAATGCTTAGCTTGCAACTTTTAGCGACGACTACGAGGTAAAACGATGCTTTTTTCCCCTTGTTTCTTTATGTATTATGATTTGCATGCACTTTGTAGAAAACATATGTATAGTTCATATAGTTTACTATTTTGTATCCTTAATGTAGGATGCATCCGGTATTCAATATAAAACTCAATTAAAAGGTAAAAAAATTTTAAAAGGTAAAAAAATTACTTAATTATGATATACTATTTCCGATTCTTAATATAAGAGTTAGTTAACTAATTTAAGTAGGTTAAGAAAGTTTGTTAAGTTAGTTATTTGTAATAAATATATACTACTTCCGGTCCTTAATATAAGACCTCGTTTGACTTTTATTTTGGACCTAATTATAAAATCCTAATTCACTTTGTCTCTAATATTTATACATTTTTTTCCAAAATAGTCATTCTAACAATGGTAATTCTAACTAATACATTTGATTAGAAAGGATATTTTAGAAAAGACAACACTTATTTATTACAAATAATTAACTTAGCTTCTTTTCTTAATATCCTCAAATCAGTCAACTGGCTCTTATAATTAGGATTGGAGGTAGTATTGTTTTTCCTAAAATATCATTACTAAACATGTATAGTATTGGCTATAACTACTATTTCATGAAATATTTAACATGTGCAATTAGTACAATGACTATTTAAAAAAAATAGATAAATAAAAGAGATAAAGTGTATTTGGATCTTATATTTAAGATCAAATTAAAAGTTAAACTAGCTCGTATATTAAAAACTAGAAGTAACAATATATTACATGATCTCTTTAAAATACTTATATACATGTCATTAAATTATATGTCAGTTTATGAGTTAGGCAAACTAGTTTAAAAAAATGATAAATATAACAATTTAAAGTAATTTATTTAACTTTATTAATCTCCATAAATTTGTCAACTTAATGTTATATTAAGGAGCAGAGATAGTAGTTTATAGTTAATTAAATTTGAGCTACAAATTAGATCTCATGTTAAAGATGGATGGTGGTAATACAATTCAATAATTTATATTCTTACTGTGATTGCTTATCAAGCAGCATTATAGCCCAGTTTAATTTGCTCGATCTAATTCTGTCCGCACATGTAGTCCTGATTTTCATAAATAACAGTTATATTATTCATAGATCATAGTTAGTATAGCATTTTTCTCACAGTTTGTACATTTTGTTATTGTTTTTATTAAAAAAAGATTATTACGGAAAGAAAGATCCATCAAATGAGAGAGGAGCAATCTGATGATTCCGTGGTACAAATTCAAGGATGCTAATTATATCTTTTGTGAGTCTCACAAGGGCCTTTCACGTCACGTCAAATTGTCGATATTCAAATAAACTGCTCACTTCGTCCAATAAGAGTTTAGTTCACATAAGCTGTCATTTGCCACTCCATCATTATCACCGTCATTATTATTATTAGAGTCACTTTGTGCGCTTTGGCCTTTTCATCCTCCTCCTTTTCTTACTCGCCACTTGTATATGTCCCCCCTTACTATTCCGCTTTTCTCACTTATTGGTTGAGTTGGTAAATTGGGTAATCAACTACTCTTCTGATTTTTAATATAAAATTAAAAAAGTTAGATAAGTTAGTTAATTATAAGAAATGTGATACGTTTTTTCTAAAATACCATAATCATCTTTCTTAATACCCTCTCTTTATCTCCTATTTAATTATGGTTGAGGGAATATCCATAGGAGTAATTTAGAGAAAATTAATAAATATGATAAATGGATCTTATATTTAGGATCAAAACTAACTCGGTAATTGGATCCTATATTAAGGACCGGAGGAGTATATAATAGAAAAAATTATAATTTGTTATGATCACATGCGCAATAGAAGAATTCAATTTTAAAACATTCACTCAAAACCCTTCAATTTATAAACGACGTCGCATTTATGAAGCTTCTCAATATAAAACTCATAATAATGTATCTCTGAGAGCATATGTTTTCAGTGACTCCACGTTGTAGTACTTTACTCAACCTCTTATTGGTTAGAATCCTATATGAATAGTCCTCTCAGTGAATATTAGACTCTCACTGATATTACACCAATCTAAAAAGAAAGCCAAATCCTAAAAAACTAGTTCATTATATAAGAGAGTCCTTTAAATTTATAAACCACACTACACTTGTGAGTTTTAAGGCTTCTCAATGTGAGACTGACAATAGACCTAAATTCTAACTGTAAATATTAAATATAAACTAATCTCTCAAATTTCATTTCATATGATTAGATCCCAATAAGTTTAATAGGAGTAGTATTTACGAATTCAACTTAACTTGTAAATATCAGAAAAGTTCATTCTGATATTTAAACGAACCAACTCAGCCTATAAATGTGAAATCTTCTAGAATTTATTAGTATCAAACGAAATTTAAAATATGTATTAATATTTAGTTTTCTTATCTAGGACCTAAAGATAATTTTCTTAAAATAATTACACATGTATGTTTATATTATATACTATAAAAATTTAACCAACCAATCATATTTTTTCGTAAATCATTGATACTGTGTTTTACTTTTAAAGTTTAATATGACATATTAAACTCGTATTAATTTTATCTTTATAATAATCTCATTTTTTATTTTGAAATAAATACTCTACGTATAACATGATTCTCCCTAGTAATCAAACACGTAAGCTGTCATTTGCCACTCCATCATCATCACCATTATTATTATTATTATTAGAGTCATTTTGTGCGCTTTGGCCTTTTCATCCTCCCTCTTTTCTTATTCGCTACTTATATATGTCCCCACTCGTATGCCGCTTTTCCCAATTATTGGTTGAGTTAGTAAACTGGGTAATCAACGATATCATAGAAAAAAAAATTATACTCTTTTAATCCTTAATATAAGATCTATTTAGCTAATTTGATTAGATTAAAAAAGTTAGGTAAGTTAGTTAATTATGAGAAAAATGATACATTCTTTTAAAACATCATAAGCATCTTTATTAATATATCATCTCTCTCTTCTACTTGATTATGGTTGAGAGAGTATCCATTAGGGTAATTTAGAGAAAATTGATAAACATGATAAATAGATCTTATATTTAAACTCAAAACCAACTCAAAAATTGAATTCTATATTAAGGATCGAAAGAATATTTTTTTATAATCACATGTGTAAAAGAAGAATTCAATTTCAAAACATTCACTCAAAAACCCCTCAATCTATAAACCACATTACATTTACGAAGTTTCTCAATGTAAAACTCATAATAATGCATTCCTTTCAAAGCATATATTTTCAGCGACTCCACATTGCAATGCTTCACTCGACCTCTTATCACTTAGAATCCTATGTGAATAACCCTCTCAGTCAATGAATATCAGACTCTCATTAAAAGCATTAATGTTATGAACACAAATCTAAAAGAAAGTTAGATCCTAAAAATCAGTTCATTTCATTATATAAGAGAGTCCCTTAAACTTATAAATCACACCACACTTGTAAGTTGTAGAGCTCATCAATATGAGACTAATTGTAGACCTAAATTCTAACTATAAATATTAAATACAAACTGGTCTCTCAAATTGCATTTAATATTATTAGATCCCAATAAGTTTAATAGGAGTAGAATTTGTAAAATATGTATTAGTAGTTAGTTTTCTTATCTAAGACTTAAAAAGATAATTTTCTTAAAAGAATTACACATGTATCTTTATTAATTTTATCTTTATAATAATCTCATTTTTATTTTAAAATAAAGACTCTACGTATAACATCAACATGATTCTCCCTGGTAATCAAACACATAATAAAAGGACACGTTTTGTCTTTTTTAACCCGTCCGCTTCTCCTCCTTTATTATCGTTTTTGCAGGTACTTTTTATTTATAAAAAATATTTATAAATTTTGTTGTTCTTTTAAACGGGAAAAAAATGTCACGGACCCGATATAGAGTGACGCATATTGTTGCTTGAATGATTTGTCTCATATAAATTGGGTCAGAGACATCGTAAAATTTAAAATACTTTAAAATTCCATCTGCAAAATCTTTTTGCCTGCTCTGGTCAAACAAATCCTATAACAAAAAACAAACAACACAAGCACATACTCTCTTTATCTTAAATATAATATTTTGTTAACTAATTTATAGAATTGAAAAAAATATTAATATATGAAGAATTTGTGATAGGTTTTTAAAAACCTTCTACTATTTAATTAGAATTTAAATCATAGAAATAGGAATGCTCCAATTAATAAGTACAGGTATTATGGGAAAGAAATAATAATATAGAAGACAAAAGAAAATTCAAAACTCTCAAATGAACTTTGTGCTAGTTTTTTTTTAAAAAACATATGTATCATTTTATTGGATCCATTTTTTATGCTCATCACTTTGATGATTACTCTAAACTCGTCAAATTTGAACCGTCTATATCTTATTTAGATGGTCCAGATTTGATTTCTTTTTTATTTTTATTTGTTCAAAATAATTATTTTAATATATATATAGAATCTAAAATAAAGATAATCTCTTAACTATCATTTTTTTAAAAATAATTTTCTGTTTAAAAATAATTAATTAAGGACTTTAAATCTGTATCATTCAAATCAGATATAAACAATATAGATTTGATGAGCTTAGAATGCTCATCAAAGTGATGAGCACTGAAACTGGATCCCTTTTTATTGAAGACAGCTATATTTAAGACACTCTCAAACAATAAGCACATCTCTCAACGAGAACTTGATACTAAACAAAATTTTAAATGAAAAATTACAATGAAGTCCTAAGTAAAAAAATATAGTTATTAAAAAGTCCTAATAATAATAAAACAGCTTGTTATTATAAATTTCAGAATAGGAAATAACAACCACTCGCTTCCTCACTTGTCATTGAGATTACTAGTAATTATTTTATTTGCTTGACACCTCCTTGTAATACTCTCAATTTTAAGGGGTATTTGAATAAGATCAAAACCATAGTTTTAGAAGTGCTTTTACAGTATACGAGATAAATATGTAAAAAAATTTGTTTCGATTTACAAAAAAATAGCGCCCAACTAATCACGTCGCTCGTCATCACATTTTTATACTTGTTTGGATGTCACTAGCTCTGGTGTTCAGACACCAGAGCTAGTAACCAAGTAGAGTGGACAAGCCCGTGAAACTGAATGAGCATGGCCTAGTTCATCAGAATTAGAGTAGGTCCTTTAAAAACTTGAATTAATTAAGCTTGCCAGTTACACTAATTCCTCATCCTTAACTTGAGGTATGCCTCGCGAGTGAATCTAAATAGTAAATAAACACTAATAAATAGCATATCCTTAAGTTGAGGTATGCCTCGAGAGCGAATCTAAATGGCTACAAACTTTTCAAGGTTCAAAGAGCTTGTTACCGCATTTGCATTTCCATGACAGAAGATAATATCCCTCATGATCCTTCTGACGAACTGATGGTGCCATGTCTGATTTATGGCGTGAGGAGATTACCAAAGTGGCCCTGCAAGGATTGCATCCAAAGCACTTGTTGAAACACCCAGGAGGCCTTGACCCTAATGCCAGTTTCTTCTGCTTTATATCTTCTGCAGAATCTGACCCATCTGCCAAAACACACACTTACAGGTAAAACCCAAGAAACCCCAGAAGCAATTCGGACAATTCATGCCCTGTTTTCAATTATTACCTGAATTAGAAGGAAACAGCAGTGTGAGAGAGATGATGAGAATCAGAATCAGAATGACTGAAGTGGTCTTCTTCAGGTTTAACCCTTTAGGGTGTGTTTTTGGTGAACCCATTAGTCCATAAAAGAAGAAGAAGAAGGAGCATATGGGTCAGAGATAGATGAATATACTGACTCTGATCAGTTTTTAATAAGGGGTTCCAGGGAAAGAGACACTTTTGTATTCAAGTTTTGTCCTTTAAGCTACAATTGCTGCTCTTCCCTGACCCTTAAAGTTTTCGGTTTGAATGACTGAAGTCACAGTTTTCTTTCATCTTTTGCTGCCTGAAATGACTACCCGATGCTGTCTTCTGAAATGATTCAAGTACTATACCCTCTTTCCTTTGTCACTACCCTATACATTAATATACAAGTCACCAGCTTGAAAAAGCATGTTAGTTCATCTGCCTTTACCTCTGCCTCCGAGTGTTACTTTAATGTCAGTGTGAAGCATATATACAACAGGCCCATTCAGATTATGGTCAACTGCATCAGTCTTTGTTGAAGAAAACCATTTCATCGCATTAAAGGCTGCTTTGTTAAGCAATTCTGATCTTGTTGATAAAATATCTCTATTAGGTTTACATCATGCACAGTCTCACTTTAAGTCGTACTAAAACTCATGATGACTTCATCATAAGGATTCCAAAACCAATATTATATCAATAGTTAAGCAAAGCCAGTCCCATAACAGTCCCTCTACTAGATAACCACCACCTGGGAAATCCCATTTTGTTCTGGTTTATTAGGTGTATGTTTTAGCCTCTTACTGTAACCCTGTTTATTCCATTTTCGCCAGACAAAGCATATATATGGTACCGCATCATGCATATAATTGTTACAATTTCTCAAGTCTTACTTGGAGAGGAGAGAGATTCAGACATATGAAAACAGTGTCAGAATTTTATCGTCCATGTCTGAATCATAATGCTCTAATATTGTGGTCTCTTCACCTCTATTACCCAAAAGCGCAAGTCGAATTGTTTCACCACTAAGTTGCCCATTACTTTCAAATACTGCATCATAATGCTCTAAGTTGCCCATTACTTTCAAATATTGGTGGCCCTTCACCAATACTACTTTGGAAGGGAAGAATGTGGTGAGCTTAAGCTTACTAAGTAGAAAAGCAAAAGGAAGATAATGAGTATCAGAACGAGGAATAAATATTCATCAAACTTTCAAATGTTGGGAAGGATTGTTGAGTTTCAATGTAAATGGGTCAGTTTACATGATAACAATTGCTCCTACTTTGTTATAATCTAAGTATTAAGAGGTGGGCGGGTGCGGTGGTGCCGGCTGTTCGCAGTGAACTCCAAATGGTGATTTTATAATATACTACTCCTCCGGTCTTTAATATAAGACCCATTTAACTAATTTGATTAGATTAAGGAAGTTAGGTAAGTTAGTTAATTATAAGAAATATGACACATTTTTCCTAAAACATCACAATCATCTTTCTTAATACCTCATCTCCTTCTTTTACTTGATTATGGTTGAGAGAGTATCTATAGGGGTAATTTAGAGAAAATTGATAAATATGATAAATGGGTCTTATATTTAGGACCAAAACCAACTCAAGAATTGGGTCCTATATTAAGGACCGGAGGAGTATATTAATATGAGCTAGTTTACAAATTAACTTCTCTTCCTTTATTTTTAATCAACGTGGGGAAATAACCGACAGAATTATTCGTTTGGATTATATATACATATACATTTTCTTTCAATTATTTGTCCATTATAAAAGAAATAATACTTTTCTGATTGTCGTATAGTAAGTCATAATTTATGATTACAGAAGGCTTTATTCATCACATAAGATAAACTGGAGTGGCCTTGTAGCTAAAAAGGATGGGGTCCTTTATTCCTTATTATAAGAAACATTTGATGCTCATGGCATGTTCCTTTATATAAGAAAAACTTAAAAGTTGTCTTTATTTTTTTGTGTTGATTTTCTATTTTACCTATATTTATTGTCTCCAACTCACACTATCTCTCCTTCCCACTTCTCTTTCTTTTAATAATTTACCATTGTTTTCTCTCATGCTCTCTCCTTATTAATGAAGGCATTTTTGGAAAAAAAAATTATACTTTTTACACATTGATTGTTCTTAACTAATTTTAACTGTTTTTTTATCAACGTAATTCGGTTATTCGTCTCTTATAATAAGGAACGGAGGGAGTATTACGCTGCAAGAAAGAATTGAAGACAGAGGCCATTTAATTCCATCCTAAAGACCATTAACAATATATTTTTTTTAGTTTGAAAATTAGTATAAAGAATTTAGCATAAGGAAGTATTTGGATAAATATAAAAACACTCTTAAAAAAATGTTTCTACGTGAATCAAAATAAAATATTTTGTATATTATTAAATTATTATTAAAATTATTGTTTGGTTTTATAGAAACACCTGTAAATTAAAGAAAAGACGAGGAACATATGTACGTATGTTTGGAATAGAAGTGCAGACTGCAGAGACATGTCAGAAGAGATTCTTGAAGTAATAAGCGTAGAAGGACAAAGCAAAGGGAGGCATCATTTCAATGTTTCTTCTTCGCTTGTGTTCCCCCGGCCCCCATATCCCTCTTTCAATTTGCATTCCTTTTCTTTTTTTTTTTTTGGGTTATAAAACTGGAACAAAGGAGGACAGATTACTTCAAAACTACTTATGAGAGCACTAATAACATGCATAGCATCTTGGACGGTACAAAAAACACATGCACAAAATCTTTTGATGGGCCACCAAAGTTCAGAGATGATTATCTCTAAAGATCTTATGATGCCTAACCTAGGCTTCATACAAAGGTTTAGTCAAGCAAATCAAGATTTCCATTACAAAGGATCTGTAATTAATGTTTCATGAGATTTGAGGCCTAAAATAAGGATTTAATCTCTGAAGAAGCACATGGGTGAAAGCAGACAAAATCCCTTATTACGATATATAGGTAGGCCTGGCAAAAGGAAATGATACTTGAAGATTAGAGAGAGAGAGAGAGAGAGGAGTACTTATGATCTGAAAATTCCAGATAGTAGGTAGCAGCAGAGTCAGCGAGTGTTTGGCTTTTTTGAGCAAGCAATTTATGCAAATGCATGTGCAGCTAACCATCCTTCCCTCACAGCACTTTTTTCCCCCCTCACTACCTACTACCCTATTTCGCAACTGTAGATTCTTGCACCAACTGGAAAATAAATTTGATCCGGCTATATCAAGTCAGATCCTTCAGCACAGTTCAACATCAGTACATCACTTGAACGTTAGACATAATTACAATAAAGAGCATCTACCTGTAAAAAGGGTTGCTGCTCTTTCCTCTAAAGATGCAGCATCAGTGCCACCACCCAGCTCTCCCCAAGGAAAAAACACTTGTCACTCGCATTGATACCCAGGGCTCCACCAACATTTCTGTTCACTTCAATTTTCAAGACTTTCCCTGCCCCACATTTTCCTTATCTTCGTATTCTGCTACTAACAATAATACAGTATGTTTTCCTCTCACACACACACACACACACACAAATATTCGCAACAAAAATGAAAGAGATTACAACAAGGGTAGGAAGTAGTTATTCTATTATAGATCAACAAAGTGGCATGCAGAGTACAATTGATAAAGCAAGATAAGCCTGCAAAAACAAGGACTCGATTTGGGGAGAAAAAAAAAAAACAACCCCAAAACAGGGTTATTGTGGCAGACTACGTGTCGGAACTGCCCCCACCAAAGCCCTTGAATACAAGACACCAAGCCTTAAAAACTGACCTACACAACCACGAAGTCAAAGCTCAGAAGAAAACCCTAGGGAAAACTTAAGACAAGTCCCTCATCCCTTTCAAGCGTGGCAATACTCTTAAAAGACACGAGAAACTACACTGACATCAAGCTTTAAGAACAAATGAACTAAGCTTAAGTACGGACATAGAAGCTAAAATACTCATTATACATCATCCAGCAACACAAAGTAAGACCTCACATAAACAATGCATTGTCCACAAGTGGAGACCAAACCATCAACCAGGACTTGATGTCTGTATTTTTCAGGGAACCATAGCCTTAAAACAGTCTTGCTAGAGAGGCCAAAAGCGTTGAAACAAGCACTTCACGGGGAAGAAATGCCTGCAAAAAAGAGGGGGTGGGTAGTCAAGAAGGGATCTGCCACGGTTCACTGGAAAACAGCCAGGTCCTCAAACCGCCACCTAGTCCACTTGGGATAAGCATATCAGCCCAAAAAGTATGCCGAATGTCACCAGCTCACAGGCTTTGTGAGTTGACTTCATACAGTACTGTGTATTCTTGAGTTTCTACTTCCAGTTCAAAGCCTTTTTCAATTGCACACCCTTCCCGGATCCGGCAGATGTACTTGTTACTATATTCATCAAGCCAGAATATCACATCTCCACAAGCTCTCCATCAATGACTCAATTTTGCTGCTTCCAATTGAATTGCAGTTCTGAATATTCAACCCCTCCAAGCTCCGGCCCAATTTTTTAAGGAAAGGGACACTCTTGTTTGATATATCATAACAGCCTGAAAGGGAGAGTACTTGCAGACTGAGCTGCTTGGCACTGGAAAGAACAGCTAAACCTGCATCAGTGATTGCACACTTTGACACATCCAGATCATTCAACAGCAGGCAGTCATTTGCAATTGCAGCCAAGCTTGCGTCGGTAATCTTCATGCAGCCATCGAGATTCAGCAGTTCAAGCGTTCCACCGTGTAGCCTTGCCAATGCTGAAACTATGTTATCAGTCAAGTTCCAACACCCAGCAAGGTTCACCTTGACAAGTCCTGCCTCACTGTTCTCCAAGAGAGGGAGAAGACCAGCATCAGTTATGCCATAAAGCCCGGTGAGATCGATGTGCTGAAGTTGAGGGCATAACTTCCCAACCATAGCCAGGCTTGCACTACCAAAACCAGGGCAGTTTCGTATGGTAAGAGATCGGAGAGACGTGCAAGGAGAAAGCATAGATTCTTCCATATCTATATCTTTAATTCCCATACACTTCACAAGTGTGAGAGACTTCAACCTTGATCTGAGATCTGAAAGGGCAACAATAATCCCAGCCTGGGTGATTCT